GCAGTGGGCGCCCGGGGTCGGGCTCGGAAGTGGGAAGCGGACCGGAGGTCCAGAGATGTGTATCAAGGTTTGGTGTCAGCGCTGGGAGTTGTTCTGGGCCCTGATTTCAGTCAAGGTCAGGGGCCACTGGCCGGGGCCGGTGGACAGTACCTGGTAGCCCTTCATGCGGCAGAAGCGGAGGCACACCTGGACCGTGAGCTTCGTAGAGGTGCCACTGGGGCCGCTGAGGGCCGGGGGGGCTCCCGAGTCCACGAAGCAGCCCAGGTAGCCCGGCACTGAGGGGGCAGGGGACGCGGGGTCTGTCTGGCGCCTTCCCTCGGGAACCGCACGCAGGCAGCCCACGCTCGCCCGTGTCCAGCGGCCACTCACTGTGACAGGTGGGGATGTCGCAGTAGCGCCAGTAGATGCCCTCCTCGGTCTCGGCCACGTAGCACCACGGCTGCACGTCGCCATCTGGGTTCCTGCGGGCGGCGAGGTGGTCCAGACCCTGCTGCCCGCAAATCCCACACTCCACCCCCGCCCCCCGGGGTGCAGCAACTCCCCGTTCTGCGTGTAGACATCCACGCGGACGGCGGGAAGTCATGGGGGGCCCCGAGGGCAGGTTTTAGGCATTCGTTGCGGACTGTGCCTTTGCAGGGCTCCTCCCCCACCGCGCCGAGGGCCTCGGCCGCTGCCTGGCCTTCGAGCCCCGCTTTCCAGCAGAAGCGGTGACTTCTACCCGCAGAGAAGTGTCCTCCCGCTCAGCTCGGTCCCTGCTGCTCCCGACAGCAGCTGTGTCTCTGAACCCCAAGTCCCTCGGTCACCGCTAGTGGGTGCCCCGCAAAGAAGCTGTAGGGCAAGGCCCGGCCCCTCACGCCGGAGATCGCTTTCTGGCCCCATCCACACGGGCCCTCCGGTACCCAGGCCTGCACAGAAGCCGGGCACCTAAGGCCGGACCCGCGTCAGAAAATGTGAGCGCCCAGCGCAGGCCAAGGCCTGTCCCATGCCCTTCCGCTGGGCCGGTCCAACCGAGGCCTCTTCTCCCCCGTCCCGGCCCCCAGCCCCGGCCTCAGGCCCACGCCCGAAATAG